ATACATATTCCCCCCGTCCCAACAGATCCATCTTCGAAATTAGAAACTTTTTTACCAGCAACCATGATCTCTGTATTCAGTGAACTGTTCTTGCTGAGGATGGGTTGGAAATCATTATGATACATATTCCCCCTGTCCCAACAGATCCATCTTCGAAAGTAGAAACTTTTTTACCAGCCAACCATGATCTCTGTATTTTAATATCTATACCTAGATGCCATGTATAAATATCTGCCATGCTGTATCTCCTTCTCTTTGTCGGATGAAGTGAACTTGTCCACAAAAGCTCACACTAAAAAATATTCAAGTTAGTCTTTAAGGTGGCACCACGTTTGTCTTTTTCTTTACTTTTTATTTTTATTGTGTATAATGTATAACGTATAATGCTTGCACAGGCTACACCTTCTACAACTTCAGGTCCACAAAAGCTCACATTAAAAAAATATTCAAGTTGGTTTTTAAGGTGCCACCACGTTTGTCTTTTTCTTTACTTTTAATTTTTATTGTGTATAATGTATAACATATAATGCTTGCACAGGCTACACCTTCTACAACTTCAGCTTTAAATATTACTTTCTAAGAAGACCACTGTTTAAGCCTATCTTATTCCTTTATGACTAATTTCAGTTAAGTCTCAGACCTGTCCACTCCATGCATGGAAACCTCAGCACTTTAAACAAAGGTTTATCAGGTTACCGGGTATATATGCTGTATTTTCCTCCACTGTCCACTTTTTACCTACCCAGTATGTGTCCCTTCATTCTTTCTGACCTAGATTGGTGGGTCCACTGGAAAAGCTACAGCACAACCTGGATATCAACAAAACTCTAAAGCAGATATAACAGAGACTAAAAGTTTGACTTTCAGATTTTCTCTTTGTGTCTTTTAATATAGCCACCTTTGGGTTAATACTTCACTGGCACAATGGATACTCGTATAGGACTGCATGTCAGCAGAGGCTGCCTTTGAGAGGTGGGACTCACAGGAAGCAGTATCTTAAGTGTTTTTACCCCTTTGATCCCCACTGAACTTTGTGCGGGCTTGAGGATGTCCCATATTGTGTTCATCCTCTGCATTACCTGGAAAATGGAACAACACTCCTTAAGAAGGTCTCTTTTGGTAGATACAGAAGAGTCATCCATAGCTTTACTGTTAATCTGGTACATATCTTGACTTAAATAGTATTTTATCCAATGGATATCCATTGGAGGAGTTCCCTTTCTTCTCTCATTTCTCAAAGCTGTGTTCTGATCTGATTCACGGTTATAATCACAGGGGGTGCAGGGAAGCCTCAGTTTGAATCATGTGACTACCTACCTTTTCTCTGTGTAGTAAAGGGCTGAACCCATATTGCGTGGATTTCACCTCTGTTCTCCTACTAGAATGGATTTTTTTTGGTGAAATTCAATGTTGCCTTACCTTATTTTACCATACAAGTAAAGCTACTCTTCATTTAATTTAATTAACAATAAATACATGCAGCCAGGTTGATTTTGACTTATCGTGGCCCTTTTCACAGTTTTCTTGGCACAGAATGTTCAGAGGTGGTTTACCATTTCTTCTGGAGGTACCCTTGGACTGTGTAGCTTGCCCAAAGGCAAACAGTCTGGCTCTTCTTCTTCTGTGATGCATAGAGGGGAACCAAATTCCCAACCTCTGGCTCTGCAGCCAGATACCTAAACACTGAGCTATAGTTAAGTGTCATAATAGCACATGTGAGAACTCAGATGTGTCATTATATGGCATCACAAAGGCTACTTGTCCTTCATGTTACTGGCTGGTAACATGCCAGGAAAGGGCTACCATTGTGAGAGAAATGTTAGGAATGATTATATTGATGACTCATAAGTTTTGATTAATCAGGCTCATTCTGGAATGTTTAAGATAGCAGCCAAAAAAGTCTGTTCTTTGGCTGGTTGCAGAGCATATGGATCTAGGAATGGCTGGCTCCCTGCTGGTAGCATGGCAGCAAATCCCAAAGAATCAAGACAACTTCACTGTTGTAAGTACTTTAGGAACTATATTTAGATTAGGTGTATTATGTAATTTTTATTTTCCTTTCTTATTGTCGTGTTAATAACTCTGGAGGTGATGGCACATGTTTTTCTACTTACGTTATGCTCAGCAAAGACTCTTCTTGATACTATTCTGCCTTACCATGGTTTTTAAAGAAGAAATTATACAGTGGTGCCTCGCTTGACGAGGATAATCCGTTCCAGCGAAATCCTCGTCAAGCGAAATAAAAAAGCCCATTGAAATGCATTGAAAACCGTTCAATGCATTCCAATGGGTGAAATACCTGCTCGTCCAGCGAAGATCCTCCATAGGGCGGCCATTTTCGCGTGCCTATGCAGCGAAAAATGCCTCCTAAAAACAGCAGGGAGCCATTTTGAGCAGCCGGTGGCCATTTTGAAAACCCGACGATCAGCTGTTTTGATCGTCATAATGCGAAGAATCGGTTCCCAAAGCAGGGAACCGATCGTCGGGAAGCAAAAAAAGCCAATTAAAACATCATTTTGTGATCGCAAAAACATTGTTATGAAGCAGATTCGCCGTCAAGCGAGGTAATCGTTAAGCAGGGCACCACTGTACTCCTTTTTTTAAAACTTTGAAACAGAAACTACTTTGGGTTTTTGTCCACAAATTCTGCAGCTGGAAACACACATTTGCATAGATGCTACTGAGGTCCTAGCTTAAATTACAGTGTGTTTTATATCTCAAGTAGCTCTCTTGATTGGGAGATTCTGGATTTGTACTCCTCTTAGTGAGCGAAAATGGTCAGAAAAAGGAACTGAAACTTTTGCATGGATATTGATTTCCCTGCAGAAATTACTGGATAGGTTACATCTTCACTGATCATGCTGACTGGATGATGACAGAAGCTGAAATGCAAACAAATTGCCTGCCTGAATTCTGGGAGTTGTAGTACTTTTACCTTGAAAAATCTCCAAAACAGTAAGACCTGTCATTTGCCTTTTGTGGAGTGGTATCTATCAACATCAGGCTTCTTCTCTCTCTCTCCACACAGCTTAGGCAGGAACACAAAACCCAGAACTCTCGACTCTTTAGGAACCTATTACGAAGGATTCAATGAAATAACAGCCCCACCCAACCCCAGAATCCAAATGAGGTCTCCTATTCAAAACCTACTGGCTTTAGACCTTGAGTGTAACACAGAGCATACCATGCAAACTTCCTCCTGGATTATTCCAATCTGCTTGTTACATTGCAGTCGCCCAGAGTAGTGGTTTGTCCACTAAATGGGCAGGGTATAAGTCTAAACAAACAAACAAACAAACAAACAAACAAAAACATAAATATGATAAAGATTCTACTGCTAACTTACATACATGCATAGATTATATTTGGAATGATTGTGCAAACTAGAGAATTCTTGCAAATCTAGTCTGTTACCAAATTAAAGATAGTACCTATTTCCATACTTAAGGAACTGGTTAGATCATATCTTGATTGGTTAGATCAGTGGTTCTTAACTTTGAGTTACTCAGATGTTTTTGAACTTCAACTCCCAGACCTCTAAAAGGTAAAGGTAAAGGTTCCCCTTGACAATTTTTGTCCAGTCGTGTCCGACTCTAGGGGGCGGCGCTCATCCCGCTCTTCAAGCCATAGAGCCAGCGTTTGTCCGAAGACAATCTTTCCGTGGTCACATGGCCAGTGTGATTTAGACACGGAACGCTGTTTACCTTCCCACCGAGATGGTACCTATTTATCTACTCGCATTTGCATGCTTTCGAACCGCTAGGTTGGCGGGAGCTGGGACAGGCGACGGGAGCTCACTCCGTCACGTGGATTCGATCTTACGACTGCTTGGTCTTCTGACCCTGCAGCACAGGCTTCTGCGGTTTAGCCCACAGCGCCACCACGTCCCACCCCCTAGCCAGCACAGCTGGTGGTAAAGGCTTCTGGGAGTTGCAGTCCAAAAACACCTGAGTAACCCAAGGTTAAGAACCACTGGGTTAGATTACATCTTGACCATACTACCTGAGGAATTCAGGGAGGTGGATAAGGTCGGTGATTCTGGGACGTGTAACCCTCTTACTTCAAAGAATCTCCAAAACAAATGCATTCCACTTTGGAATACTTCATCCTTTCTATTCTGCATCTACCAACATGCATATAGCATATTTTCATTTAATGAAACATATCTGGGCTAGGGTTCATCTAACGTGTTTCTAACCATGACATAAACTGAAAAAGTAACAGGATAGGTAACAGACAGAGATCATGGTGAAAGATGTAATGCAGAGGAGAGAGACAGCACTGGGATGAAGGTGGAACTCAGGGTATTTAACCCAGGCAAAGCTGGGCACATTTGTTACTATGTAATAAAGAATAGCTCCTTCATAGAAAAAATTAGTGTGCGCCAGTGGTTATCTGCTTTGTGTACAAATCGAATTTCTCCAGTAAGAAGGGAGAGTATGTCTAACAATTCTGTTTACTGAAGCAAGACGAGATAAAAGATGATGCCATGGAATGTGTGTACTTGAAAACCAAGCTGCTTTACAACAAACCATAAAAGGAAAATCAAAGGTGGGACTAGAGGAAGGAAGGACAGAAGGGGAGGGGGGGGCTGTGAGCTGGAATGCCAGCCACAACATATCTACTTAGCTATCACTGAGCTCCTAAAATGTTCCGCAACCCCTGCTTTACAACAAACCATAAAAGGAAAGTCAAAGGTGGGACTAGAGGAAGGAAAGACAGAAGGGGGCGCGCTGTGAGCTGGAATGCCAGCCACAATGTATCTACTTAGCTATCACTGAGCTCCCAAAATGTTCCGCAACCTTCGTGTGAACACCGATTACAACTTTAATCGCAATACAGCCTTTGATGGAAAGCAAAGAAGAGTCCTTCTGATCTGGCATTTCACTGTAGTCACATCCACAGTTACAAATTTCACTGAATACCTGAATACCCTGGATCCTGCATACTGGATTTTTACTGAGAATGCTTTAATATTTTCAGAACCTGAGCTTACTTACCCTGGCAAAGATATCCAGTTTTTCTTTATCATACAAAACCCTCAGCATTCCTGCATACAGAGGACAGCAAGCTCCTGCACAATAAGGACACCCAAAGAGAGATTGAAATTTGTAAAAGGCATTTATGACTTAATGGTTTACAGTGTGTACAATGAACCAAAGACAAAAAAGGCTGCACCTTGCTCAATCACGGCTATGCATCCATTTCAAACAGTGGCCAATCAGATCTCCACAGCTCCAGAACATCAGATACGAAGGGCATACATAGAAATTCTACTTAGCTATCGCCGTGACTATCCTTGATAGATCTACTGATACACTTAACACTAGAAATTAAATGGGACCCTTCAAAAGTTAGTGTCAGGTGTTCAAAAAGCTTCAACCAGGTTTCAGGTGTTCAAAATTAACACTCATAGAGCTTAAGTGATGCCAAATTTCAGCCACCAACTGTCCATCACCAAAGGGGATAAGATAGCAGCCTTTCACTGCTCTCTGAAGGGTCTTCAGAAGATTGCTCCCTCCCTCACCTGTGATTTGTCACTACAGATCGTGTGCCTAAAACTATAAATGTGCTGTTAATGACACCTAATGAAGGAGATAGTTCTTGCCTATGCTGTTTGGAACACTCCATAGGCGCCTGGCCCTGTATCTCTTTCCCACATGACTTTTCCTTGGAGAAGGGTAAAGCAACAACAGGTGGAAGATATGAGAATTCAGTTCTACTTGCAATTATTTGAGCAGAGGCATTGTCTTAGCCCTTGAATTTATCTAAGCTAGTAGCTATTACAATAAACTCTGACAGTTAATTCTATAAGTTAGCACAACTATGTTACGTGAAGAAGGAAAACAGATGCTTTGTGGAGTCTACAGTTACTATTGTGACAACCATCCCGTTTTGTCAGTTAGGTTTTCTTCTAAAGTGTAGGACAAGAAAGCTGCACCCACATACCTCCTCAAATCATACATGGAAAGTGTTTCACTGAGGTTACATATTAGAGTTATGACAACCACACTACCAGTTTTTTGCTCACATATATGCAAAGTCTAAAACTGTTTTTCCCTTTTCACCAGGACCAAACCCAGAATTCTTCTAGAAGTACGTTTCAGATACTCTCTAACTTCATTTGAATATTATTTACCAGCATTCTCACCTGGTGGGATAACTGGTTTGTATCCAGTGACTGGAAGACGAGGGCAAGTAACAGAAACACATTCTCCTTGAGAACTGTAGTCAGAAAGGACTCCTACAGCTTGACATGGTCCATTGTAATCTACAGCCACACGATCAGAATAGGCAGCACATACATTGCTGTACGTTTCACCATTATGGCCACATACCAAATCTACTGATTTGCAAAAAGACTTAAAAAAAGAAAACAAAAGAAAATGGAATCAGTACTTACATACAGTTTTTGCAAATTAAATCCATAAACATAGTATAATATAACATAATGCACCCCGGCCCCCCAGATGGTGATAGCTACTTCAATTAAAAATTACACAGGATGGTTCAGGAAATCTCTCACGTGTGGAGGATGGTCCTGAATGCCTCTTTGAAAAGCTTTGTTTAGAACAGCTTCCTGAAGGAAGAAGGGAGGGGGCTTGGTGTACATTGACAGGAAGCATGTTTCATAATATCATGGCCACTACTGAGTAGATCCAGTTCCTGATGGTCATCTTCCAGGCCTCCCTCGATGTATCCACCCACAACAACAAAGTTTGACATGACTGGGTCATCTGTGTAGAAGATCTTAGGGAGAGACGGTCTGACAAGTACCAAGGTCTCAACCCATTTAGGGCTGTATAAGTTAAAATTAACACTACCAAAGCTCTACCACTACTGCAGAAAGCTTAAAATGCATGCAATTGCTCATCTTATTCGCCATATCTCTGCAGAATCATGGTCCATCAGCTTGTTAAGCAGCTCATTAGAGGTTCCCATTTTATTGCTGAGAAACAAGAAGCACTCTCTGTCTGTTCTGGTTCCCATCACAATCACTGCAATTTCTGTATTCACAGTTTTCATGGGAAACTGGTTATAGTTACACACTACACAAATGGTCACGAGAAGCTGAATGCAGCATGCATGTTGCCTATCCTTGTTCTATGCCTTGAATACCATGATTGTAAAAACCAAAATTAAGATGGGTTTGAGGCATGATAAATCAGTGCATCAGTCTCAAAGCACTATGCCATTAGCCATGGAGACTATCAAAATCAGCTCTAGTGGCAGAGTTTAGTCAGTTGCTATAAATGCAATGGATTTGTAAGAATGTTCACATTTTTGCCTTTGTTTATTTTCACATAGAAGAAACTAGTCATGCCAAGCAAAAAATGGTTCAGAAGAGGAAGAAACAACTTTGTTTCTGAAGAATGTTCACATTTTTGCCTTTGTTTATTGTCACATAGAAGAAACTAGTCATGCAAAGCAAAAAAAGAGGAAGGGGAAGAAACAACTTTGTTTCTGTTTTAACAGTGGAACAATAAGTACAATAACTAAGTAATTTGAAATATCATGCCATACCTGACATGGGCCTCTATATGATATACTTTTCCCTTTTTGGTGCAGAGTGCACAGATTGCTATATTCTATATTATCTGTGTCACAAACAGGATCTCGCAACTGGTCACCGCAACTGAATTGTCTGGGCACACATTCATATTGATTACATCCAAACTTCTCAAAACTGGTTAAGCAAACTTGTGGCTTTGGTATACATCTGCATGAAACAAGACTGTGCTATTATTTACATTCTTCATTTTGAAAAAAAGAAAAAGCAGATGATTGAACCAAGAAATGTTTTATAAAGCTGTGGCAAATATACAGCCCAAAAGAATTTCAATTCATATTCTGTTGCATTACAAACGCAACACATACAAGCACTGTGTAAATATTTTTAGAAGGATTCTATTTTCTGCAATGCTTATAGTCCACGTTGCTGTCTTTGTTTCCCCTCTGCACATAGAGAATGGAGAGCGATTTTCTCAGTACATGGAAACCTTCCAGTGCATGAATCTCTCTCTCTTATCCTTAGGAACAATAAAGTAGCTCCCTCTTTACTGCCACTCATTTGCTCAATAGCTGAGGAGAGGGGTACTTGTGATCCCCACATCCTAGGAACAGTACAAGTGTTATAGGAAAAAGGGGAGCAACAGCAAAGTCCTCTTCTGTCAGGAGTGGATGCCTCAAGACACACATATGCTCCCCACAGATGTGGTTTCCTTGGAAAATGTACCTATTTTAACGTTTCCCAGTAAGCAGTTTTGGCAGATTGAGTATGGAAGGCTGTTGTTACAGATCCAGCCCATGAGGCAGAGGCTCCCTACAGATTAAGCACAGGACTGATACACATATATTTGTCTTATGTGGGTTTAAACCCACTTCTTTGCATTTATGCCATATAATCAAATAATATCAAGACAAATGCACAATTATAATTGATGATGTCAGGGGTAGTAGTAAAACAGGCACAGATCAATAATGCCATTGTGTTACTTCCCCAAAATATATTTCATAAAACTGACCTATAGAGAGCCCTCACCCCACACATTTATGCTTTCCTAAGCCAATTGGGTCTAGCCTACCAGAATGCAAAACAGCATTCCTTTTTTGCTAGGGTGTGGGTTGCCTTTATTTTTCTGACCTGAATGAAGCCCATTCACAACTGCATGATGTGTAGTAATTCAGGAGTTCACAAAGGCAAATCTAAATACAAAAATAATGCTGCTGCTTCTTACTCCAATTTTGCTTTCAGAATCCTCTTACTCCAATTTTGCTTTCAGAATCCTGGTTTCAATAGAGTAGGAGTATGTGATATGAAATATATGTAATTATACCTTAAATTAATAAGTTAAACTCTGCTAACAATAATTTAGAACTGAATTCTGATTTTTAATATCATTATTAAATATACCATCATCAAAGAGGAGATATCACTGGCATGAACAAAGTAGAGTACACACAAAAAGATGAGAGACAATTGTGTCAACAGCTAGTTTTAGACACCTATAGCCACAAGCCCAACTGCTGAACACTAGAAATAATAGTAAGAAATCTAATGAAACAATTCTCTGGAGATGTCCATGGCCAAAATCTAACAGATACATCACATCCTCAACCAGGCTCCTTAACCTATTACCCAAATCACACAAACCTGAAATATTGTTACCATTACCTCCGGGGTGTCTAGATATGTGAGCCTTGTCCTCACACTGTCATGGATCTTGCCATACAAGCTCTCTTTTATAATCACTCTGTCACACTACTTGTGCCTTTGATCTGGGTGAGGGTGTCCAGAGGGAGCAGGAGGGACTAGCGCTATGAGCTCTGATTTGTATCTGGTTATTCCCCAACACGGATTCCCCTGGTGTGGGTCGCATGTCCAGGGGTTCTGACTTAAAAGTTTGTTAGACTGCAATCAGCTCCCACTAGTATCAATAATCCCAATTTAGTAGCTCGACCAAGGTTAAGGACTAGATTATACTACAAACTTCCTCTTCAGACACAAGCTTGAAATAACGTATAAACAACACAGAGATGGAGACAGGACCCAGATCCTGTCCCAAATCTAGAAGCCAATTGTGTACCTATATCTACACCAGCAGCACAATCAAGGACACCACCAATGTCAACTACAATATCAGAGGTCTACTTATTGGTTCATCCTCACATGTAATTTATGCCACTTTTTGCCAGCATTGTCCAGTTGCTTTCTACATAGGACAAACAGAACAATGTGCAAAAGAATGAACGCAAAGAAAACTGACATCACATATGGCAATACAGATAAAGACAAGGGTTACTTACCGTAAATATGGTTCTTCAAGTGGATCTCCATGAATTAACACTAATGGGTATTGTATTGCGCATGCATGAATTCTCTGAACATTCCAGAGCTGAAAAAGGAGGAGCCCCATCCTCCCACATTGCTATTGGTGCCTCTAACAGTCCTCCCTCAGTTCCTCTAACCATCTCTGAGGAAGCAACTTGACAAGAGGGGAGGAGGGGAGGGACATGTGAATTCACAGAGATCCAAGCGAAAAACCATAGTTACAGTAAGTAACCTATTCTTTTTTGTGATTTCCATGAATGCACACAAATGGGTGAGTAGCAAGCTCGCTTACTGGATGGTGGGTAGTCACGAGAAAACAGAACCCAGGACGGCTCTACCCACAGAGGCTCTCGATTTTTCCCATGTGGGTCATGAAGGTAGAAGGCTGGGTCCAAGTGCAACAGCACAGATAGTGTCGAGGCGAACACCTCTCAAAAAGGCTGTGGAAGACAAGACAGCTCATGTCAAACGAACCCTTACTTTCAATAACAGGGACTGTTTGGTTAGTTCACAGGCAAGAGTAATGGTTTCCACAAGTCATCTGGCCAGTCACTGAGCAGAGATGAGAGTGCCCTGTGCACCATCTTTGTAAGTGACAAAGAGCTGCATCATCTTGCATACAGAGCACAAACTAGAGGTGTAGAAAGCCAGGGCAGAGCGGATGTCAAAGGCATGGAGAGACCTCTCAACCCAGGATGATGGTGAGTGACAAAAAAATAGGTAGGATGACAGGCTGGCAAAGGTGAAACTGGGAGCTGAACCTTCAGAAGAAAGATGTCAAAATAAGCTAGCATTTTGTCTTTGAAGAACTGAAGAAAAGGAGGATTGTGATGAAGCACACCAAGTTCACCAGCCTGAAACTGTCTTGAGGGTAAGGAAACAGGTGAGTAGTGGCCATCTGCTCAAAAAGGAGTTTCATCAGGCACTGGAGTACAAGTGGGAGAGACCACTGAGGCGGTAGGGGCCTGACATCTGGGAATAAGTTGTGAAGATCCTTGAGAAATCTTTTCATTGTTAGGTCGTGGAACATGGTGGATGCACCAGAGTCATGGGGTTGGTTACCGATTATCGCCAATAGGTAGACCTTTGTCATCAAAAAAGAAAGGCAATTCTGCCTGAGAGACAATAAGAACTGCCAGACAAAGGGGAGAAATGGGTGGAAAGGCGACAGGCCTTGTGTGGACGTAAAGGAGACAAACTTGCACCACTTGTAAGAGTAATGCTTTCTGGCAGAGGGGTGTTGGGAGCCCTGGAGAATGTCAGTTACTGCAGGAAAAGCCTCCAAGCCATCAGTGCATGGATGTGAAGGATGGGACGATGAATGCAACCCTCACCCTGGGAGAGACAGTGAGGGAGAGGTGGTAGGCGGAAGTGATCAGTGCAAGTTCGGAGAAGCAATGCAACCAAGGCCTCACAAGGCCACCATGGTGCAATTAGGATGGCATTGGTCCTGTCCCAACATAACCTGACCGCTACTCTGTGAAGTAGAGGAAAAGGGGGAATAAAAGAGGTACTTCTTCCACTTGAGAGTAAAGGGATCACCTAAGGAGCTCAGCCCTCTGCACCCTCTTGAGCAAAATTTGAGGCATTTGGTGTTCATTTGTGTTACAAACAGGTCCAAGTCCTGAAATACTCATTGGGCAGTGACGCCATGGAAGATATGCTCATCCACCTCCCACTCATGGGTCTGGGTTTGGGAGTGGCTGAATAAGTCATGTTGTTCTCTACCACAGGTAGGTGGATCGCCATGGGAAAGATATGATGGGACAGACACCACTCCCAAAGAAGGACTGATATGTATAGGAGTTGAAGGGAGTGGGTACTCCTTGCTTGTTGATGTAGTACATGGTGGTTATGTTTTCCATGACCACCAGTATTACCTTCCCTTTGAGGAGGGGAGAGGAAGGACCTGAGGGCATAGATGACCACCAGGAGCTCTAGTTCATTTATGAGGCAACCAGTATCGGAGACTGACCACCTGCTGTGGACGGGAAAATCCACACAGTAGATATCCCATCCAAGGAGGCTGGTGTTGGTGGTGAGTTGGAAAATTGGTCAAAGAGACCAGAAGTGCCGGACGAGGCTTACATTGTGGGTGGGTGCCCACCATTGAAGCTGGAGGCTGAATTCCTGTTTCTCCAAGGGAAAGGTGCAAAGCAGATCCATGATGAAATGTCACAAAGTATGGGTGACAGTGGCCCTTCATATGCAACAGTTAAACATTGGGTTTTCGATTTTTTAACTGGCCATTTCATTGTTGAAGGTGAGAAACCCAGTGGAAGGCCTGTTTCTGTCTCTGTGCCTGCAAATGTGAAAGCCATCCATAACATGATCATGAAGGACAGCCGAATATCAGCCAAAATTATTGCGATATCTGAGAATATCACGTCAGAGAATTGCTGCCATTATCCACAATGACTTGGAAATGAGAAAGCTGGCAGCAAAGTGGATCCCCAAACCTTTGACAACCAAACAAAAGAGGAAACGTGTGGAGTCATCTGTGGCTGTTTTGGAACATTTTGCAAAAAATGAGGCAGATTTCCTGGGCAAACTGGTAACTGGTGATGAGACATGGATCTATTGTTATGATCCTAGGACAAAGGAACAGACTAAGGAATGGAGTCACAGTGGTTCCCCCAGGCCAAAGAAGTTCCGAGTACAAAGGTCGGTGCAGAAGCAAATGGCGTTTTTTGGGATAAGAAAGGAGTTCTGCTTGTGGACTGCCTCCAACAGGGTTCAACCATCAATACAAAATATTACTGTGTTTTATTGACAAAGCTGAGGCAAAACATCAAGGAAAAACATTGAGGAAAGCTCTCCAAAGGTGTCATCCTGTTGCACGACAACACTTCGTCTCACACACTGCAGGGGAAACAATGGCAAAACTGATATCCTTAGGCTTTCAAGTGATGCCCCATCCACCCTATTCTCCCAACCTGGCTCTTTCTGACTATTACGTGTTCCCCAAACTCAAAAAACACCTAAAGGGACAACGATTTGAGAGTGTTCTGGACGCAACTAATGCTGCAAATGAGTGGTTACACCCGCAGTCGGAAGAATTTTATTTGCAGGGACTTAAGAAGCTGCAGGACGGATGCTGCAAGTGCACTGACTTCCTCGGGGAATATGTAGAATAGTGTGGTAGTTAGAGCTTTCTAGCTCAATTTTTTTCTGGGAAAGGCTCAATACTTATCAGCACCCCCTCATAGAGGAGGAAGGAGTGGATTCGGAAGCCAAGTGGTGCCAATCTGGCTCCAGAGTCAACCAGGTCCTTGATAGTTCCATAATGGGAGAAGCTTGGAGAGAGGACCCACAGAGTTGAACCTTAAGCTGGTTGAGGCAATGGTAAAGGAAACCCTTAGTAAAGCTCTGATCATGATGGCAAGATTGGGGTTCACACTTCTCTCCAAGGCAAAAGAGGCAGAGAGAGTGGCTGTCGGGAAGAAGGAGTTTTGTTGCTGCAACCATGACACGTTTTGAAGGGGCACTTTGATGCCATAATAGGAGGAGGGGGAGGGGCTTCTGAAAGGGAGAGACCCACAAAAACAAACTTCTGTAAAAGCTCTTTGTCTCTAAGGGAAAAGCAGCTCACAGGACTTGTAGGTGCAATCGAAGATTCATAAGTCGAAAAGAAAAATACTACTTGCAGGCAGCAGTTGCAGAACGTTCCTCAGATGTGTCCGAAACTGCAGCAAAAAAGGAACTGAGCACCATTAGAGGTGCCAAGTTGCAATCTGGAAGGGCAAGGTCTCTAACAATCTCCTTTTTCCGCTTTAGAAATTTCCAAGGATTCGCGCATGCACAATTAGTGTGCATTCATGGAGACCACAAAGAAAGAGTGGTTACTTACCTGCAAATATGGTTCTCCAAGTGATACTCTGTGAATTCACACATACCCTCCCATCCTTCCCCACTGTCCGTCACTGCTGCTAGGTGCAAGCCTTAGTTTAGCGATGACGGATGTGTGGAACTGGAGGGAAAGGGAGGTTGCTCATGCGCAATAGGGGCAATGTATCTTTTTGATCTTTCAGATAAAGTGCTCTAGAATATTCCGAACGTTCCACGCAAGCGCGGACAAGACCCAAATGTGTGAATTCACAGAGTATCACTTGGAGAACCATATTTGCAGGTAAGTAACCACTCTTTCTTTGTGGTCTCCATGAATGCACACTAATTGTGCATGCGCGAATCCTTGGAAATTTCTAAAGCGGAAAAAGGAGATTGTTAGAGACCTTGCCCTTCCAGATTGCAACTTGGCACCTCTAATGGTGCTCAGTTCCTTTTTTGCTGCAGTTTCGGACACATCTGAGGAACGTTCTGCAACTGCTGCCTGCAAGTAGTATTTTTCTTTTCGACTTATGAATCTTCGATTGCACCTACAAGTCCTGTGAGCTGCTTTTCCCTTAGAGACAAAGAGCTTTTACAGAAGTTTGTTTTTGTGGGTCTCTCCCTTTCAGAAGCCCCTCCCCCTCCTCCTATTATGGCATCAAAGTGCCCCTTCAAAACGTGTCATGGTTGCAGCAACAAAACTCCTTCTTCCCGACAGCCACTCTCTCTGCCTCTTTTGCCTTGGAGAGAAGTATGAACCCCAATCTTGCCATCATGATCAGAGCTTTACTAAGGGTTTCCTTTACCATTGCCTCAACCAGCTTAAGGTTCAACTCTGTGGGTCCTCTCCCCAAGCTTCTCCCATTATGGAACTATCAAGGACCTGGTTGACTCTGGAGCCAGATTGGCACCACTTGGCTTCCGAATCCACTCCTTCCTCCTCTATGAGGGGGTGCTGATAAGTATGTGCAAACTTAATTTGGCTTTGTTCATCCCAAAGGCCCCATTTTCGCACAGCTGATCGGCGGTTCCAAAATGGCCGCCTGCTGTTTTGCCTCGCTTTAGACGCACCAAAAATGGCTGCCCCTATGGAGGATTTTCGCATAAGATGAGTTTTTAAGCCCATAGGAACGCATTAAACTTGTTTTAATGTGTTTCTATGGGTTTTTAAAAATCACTTAGCGATGAAATCGCATAGCAGTGATTTTTGCTGCACGGATTAACATCGCTAAGCGAGGCACTACTGTATATTGCTTTTCGTCCCCTCCTTTGCTTCCATTTATTTTGCCAACATGCAGAGACAGACTAACATGACTACATCTTTAGAAATTAGTTATATTGCATACAACCTACTTTTCATAAGATTAATAGTTGGTCGACGGAAAACAGCTACAACATTTCTTGACTACTAACCTTTGATTTTTTAGGCAGGGATTAGGGTTGCAAGGATCCTTGGATATGCAAGATCCAAATTCAAATTGATTGTCCTGAAGCCCAACACAACGTGCTATGCAGGCACTTGGATAGGTGCGTCCATTCTGCCCGCACACTGACACAAACTGGTCAGCACAGTTACATGGTAGACCTGAAAGAACCAAACCTTTCTTAGGACTGTGCACACTCACAAATACCTGGAATTCTGTGGTCTGTACTCTTGCAGCTAGAGAAAATGCCTGCCAAAAGTCCAGAGGGGACTGGTACCAGTCCATGAATGAGGGACGTGGTGGCGCTGCGGGTTAAACAGCAGAAGCCTCTGTGCTGCAAAGTCAGAAGACCTGCAGTCATAAGATCGAATTCACACGACGGAGTGAGCCCCCGTCACTTGTCCCAGCTCCCGCCAACCTAGCAGTTTGAAAGCATGCAAAATACCATTCCCACGGTGGGAAGGTAATGGCGTTCCATGTCTATTCGCACTGGCCATGTGACCACAGAAGATTGTCTTCAGACAAACGCTACCTCTATGGGTTGGAAACGGAGATGGGCACCGCCCCCTAGAGTCGGACACAACTGGACAAATTGTCAAGGGGAATCTTTACCTTTACCTTACCAGTCCTGAAATGAATGGCCACAGTCCAAAAGAGAGCTGAAGCATATTTCAGCTAACTAAAATCACAGGACTAAAGGTCAGGAAACAGTTTGGAGACCATGGCCCTTCTTTTTAAAATGCTAGAATATATTTGACTAGATTACATAAGGGGATACTCAGAGTGCTCTAGTGAATAAAGTGACAGATTAGGACTCAGGAGATCAGGGTTCAAATTCTGGCCAGCTGTGGAAACTAATGGTGTGTAGAACCAGTAAAATCACTTCTTAAATGTTTCACTTTCTTTGCATGACCCATTACCATTGCTAAAATCAGTTCCAAATTGAATCCACACAACACACAGATTACTAACATTCTTACAATTCATTTTCTTTTAAGAAGTATGAGGCTTGCTTTGCATTAGCTGTGTGTCGGATTCCACAAAGAATTTTAAGCAAGTCACTGAATTTTTGTGACTGGAAAATATTACCTGTAAACATGTGACGCTCATCATCTGAGCTGTATTCATTTAGACACTGACGGACGGAGCATATCAAACTCCCAGCAAAACATATACAGACATTGCAATCTATCTTAAAAGATGTTCCATGGCCTTAAAACAAAAGAAAGGCATCAATGTGTCTGTTGCATTTTATAACAATATTCAGGAAATTAATAAAGACAAGAGTTCTATACAGCAGCCTTGAAGAACATATCCCCAGAGATTGCTAACATTAATTTTTAAATTTAGATTTTATTTTTACTAGTAAAGTATATTATAGTATAGTATAGCATAGCATAGCATAGCATAGTAAATAGAGAGGCTACTTACCCATAACTCTGGTTCTTCGAGTGGTCATCTGTGAATTCACACTAATGGGTTAATCTGCGCCTCTGCAGAGATCTCTAGAATATTCTAGAGCTCAAACACGCATTTGCCAGGACTGCCCCCCTAACACATAGTCCGCCCATCCTGGCGATTGCCTCAGTTCCCAAACAGCCCACCGTTGTATAAAATAAACAGACGTGACAGACAGAGGGGAGGACGGGCGGGCAGTGTGAATGGCTGTCTTGGCCACCATGGGGCTATGAGGATGGCATTCGCATGATCCTGCTGCAGCTTGATGATGGTTCATAAGAGAAGAGGAATTGGAGGGAAAAGGTAAAGGAGGTGTGGGGGCCATAAAGGGCAGGAAAGGGGGAAAGGGGTGGGGGGTCAGTAGGAACAAATGGGATCAGGTCTCTACAAATAAAATGGGATCAAGTCTCTTACAAATCTGATGTATTAAAGTCTATTCTTCTATAGAATCAATTTGTTTTGTTGTTTATTTCTCTAGAGAAAAGAACTGAGAAGCGCGGAGAGCTCATCAAGAGATGAGACCCCACCAGTGGCAAAAAGGACTGAGGCAATTGCCAGGATGGGCGGACCACGTGTGTTAGGGGGTGGTCCTGGCGAACGCGTGTTTAAGCTATAGAATATTCCGGAGATCTCTGCGCAGGTGCAGATACCCATTAGTGTGCATTCACAGAGACCACGAAGAAGAACACCATGTTGATCATGCTATTAGATGGGAGTGGTGCGGGGGTGAGGTGTTGGGGTTTTTTGAGTCTTATTTTGTAAACTGCCAAGAGTAGCGGATGTTCATTAATGGGATGATATACAAACCAAACACATGCATGCATAAACAAAGAAACAAACAAACAAACAATGCAGCTATATATAGCATGATGCATAATCATTTCTATGAAATACTGACCCAAAATAAATAAGTTATGTAGTTATAGCTGATACTATTAAACTCTACTCTCCTTCTTTCCCTTTTAGAAGAAAACACTTATACTCTTCATATGTACCGTTTTGTGGACAGCTTATTACACTGTCATCATTCTAGAATTTAACTGACATAACATGGGCAATGATGAAATAAACCAAAATAAATACTTACTTTTTCTTTGCCCTCCAACAATACATGACTTCTGGTGGTCAACACAATGCATTTCCATACAGTTTTCTAACAATCCACTTTGACCACATGTGCAAATTTTATAGCAACCAACATCTCCTGAGGAGGATGGAACCTGTATGAGTGTACCTTGGCGAACTATAAAATCAGAAGCTTCACCCAGCTTGCAGCCTATGAATTAAAAACATTTCCATTCCATAAATGTTTAAGGCTTGCATATAACAAGAACAGCTCAAAATTTACAATATTGCTTCTGTGAAGCTTTAACACCGTTCATCAATTACCATTCTGTCTTAATTCTGAAAGTCTAAAAGAAAAAACACAATCCTTTTGTTGTATAAAATTATGTTCAATAGCAAGTAACAAAAATATTACTCTGCTATAGAAACTAAACTTAGTACTGCATTGGGTGTTTAAACTACAGTATGACTTACCCTGCACACAAAAATAAGGAAGACAAGGTTCGCCAGGCTGGCAACCCTTTCTGTTTACTTCACATAATTCATTGGCAGCACAAGGATTTGGATTACAAGGGTGTGTAACATCTTCCACAATGTTACCTAGAGTACTTGGACCTGTAAAACAAAATAAGGTGAAATCATTAACCATGCTTAAAAATAAAGCAGTGAGTTTGTTTTCCCCAGATGTGACATTTTTATTGAGAAAAAAGAGTGTACGAAACCAAGGCTAAAAAACTGACCTTTTGCCATATACTGGGATGAAGGAGCTACTCATGAAATTGCTTGTTTTTGCCTTTTGAGGTGACAGTGGTGGAAACACACTCTTAAATACAAGTGGCTGCCATTTTTTCCCATTCACAATACCTCTGCACAGCACTGGAATCACAAAGAGACAGCTGCAGGGGAAAATGGAAGTCCACACTTGCAAGCACCATTTTTTAAATCCAAGAGTCCCCATTGGGTAAGTTAGACTACAGAATATCACTGAAAGAGTTTGTTTTGCCACTTGCCAATATGACAATGAAATGGGTAGGGATGAAATTGTACTATGCACAATTTCTTCTACTAATTGATCTCCAATGCCAAAGGGCCTTTTCCAATGTATTTCAGAAAACAAGTTGATCACAGAAGTGGAGTTACAATATAGTATCTGCATTAAACAGTAATAGGCCACTCATTTAGTGGTGTTAGAAAGGAAACATTTTGGGGGATTCAATAGAAGGTTACTAAACAAGCAAATCTGAGACAGTATATGTTGATGAGAAAAATCACTTGCCAACATGCTAATAAAGAAGGCACAGAAGAGGCTGTATTTCCTGAGAATGCTCGGGAAGTTAAATTTATCACTGCATTTACTTCTGTCCTACTATCGTAGCACCATTGAGAGTGTCCTAACCTATGGCATTCTGGCATGGTTTGGGAGTAGCTCTGTAGCGGACAAAAAAGCTCTACAGAGAACCATTAAAATTGCCCAGAATATCATCAGGCTCCAGCTACCAACCCTGGATGACATCTTCACATCCCGCTGTCTGAGGAAGTCACACAGCATCCTGAGAGACTCTTCCCATCCTGCTTATAACTTTTTTGAACTGTTACCATCTGGCAGAAGATATAGAACAATTAAGACTCGGACCACACGTTTTCTAAATAGTTTTTATCCTAGAGCTATAATTGCAATTAATAATGAGCTTAAAGACCACCAGTAGTGAATAATTAGTTGGACTGTGTTACTTGGCCTGAGGTGTAGATGTTTGTATTTTTAGTGGGGGACTTTTAGTGGGTGGGGAGTGTTTGGGAATTTTATGTGTGTGCATGTGTCTGGTCTCTGGGTGTCTGTGAATTTCGTTGTATGTGTATATACTTACAATGACAATAAATTATTAGTAGTAGTAGTAGTAGTAGTAGTATTAGTATTACATTTTTAATAAAGTCAGTCTCAATCCAAACAGGATGCCAATTCCTAGTCTGGGACAGGTATATCCATCAGAACTGCTGACATGGGAACTGAGACTGTACACTGAGTTGATAATGTGAAATTGGTAGCAAGGAAGCCAACTGTGCCGAAGGAGCAGGAACAAGACTGAAGAGCAGAGACAAGGCTGAGGCAGAGCCATGAGTTGAAAACAAAGGCAATGTTTGAGCTGCAGAAACTAGAACCAAAGTGATGAGCATAGGTGGAGTCAAAGTCACTGCAGTAGTCAAAACTGTATGAACTAGATCAGTCAACAGAGTTAAAGAGGAGTCACTGGATACCAAAGACAGAAGGCTAATGGAGGAGCCAAGAGCAGTTGTCTGGAGAACCCTCTTAGCATGCTTCTCCTTTTTGTCTTTTGTCTTTGAGGCTCCAGAAGCAGGCGGGATCAAAAGGCATTTGGAGAAATGCTTTTTAGATTTAGATGCAGGCAGTTCCCTACCCAATGTACAGATAAAAGAGGCCTGAGCTGTCAGACCTTGAACCAACATTGATGTCAATGGAGGCTGTGAATTTGCCAAAGTGCTAGGCATTGAGCAGTGAGGAGCAAGCCAAGTTGGACGCATTGTACTCTTAGCTGCACTCACTGACACTGAAGTCTTGATTGTGAAGCTCTGTCTACTGCCTTCAAGGAGTGTTCCCAGAGATGGGAACACAATTTAGATTGCCTCAGTATGCAACTCTACTTAGTAAAACACTTGCAGATCAAACAGGATTGGGAGAGATGGGCTTCCCTGAGACCGAAGAGGCACTCAGAATGACAGTCAGCACAACACTGCCTTCACACGCACCACATTTCTGAAATAAGGCCTTAGGGACCATACATGAGGGCAAAGCCAACAAAGTGGAGAAAAAGTTCCAGACCAAGGGGCTACTGCAGGAAGATGAGTAAGACAGAATGAACAACTGCAAAAGAATTCATAATGGAACAGAAAGTAGAAATGAAGTAATACAAATACATAGAGTGAACTCAGTAGAGAGACTCCAAATCATGGATGCTCTGGCAGTACAGAAAAAGGAATAGAAAAGGATTGGCTGGGTCAAGGGATGATGAACACAGTGGTGGTGAGAATGAGGCTGTGAGGACGGGAAGGAAGGGAGAGATGAGTGGAAGGCAAGGTGCATGGTGCTAGTGGCAGGAAAGAGTGGAAAGAAGAGGGGTGAGGCTGGCTGGGCAAGAAGATGAGGCCCACAGCAGTGGCTAGGCAAGAAGAGGGAGAGAAGAGAATGACTTGGGCAGATTACTGGAATATCAGTATGAGTCAGTTTTATGTACATGGGGTGAATGTAGCTAATGAATGACAGAAAGACAGATGACAATTAATGAGCTGTGTCCCTCGTATTTGTTAAAATGGATCATCATTAATTCTGAGGTTCTATCCCCAAAAGTGATGGAAGACAATAAAATGAATGTGACCATCTCTTCCATCCTTTTTTTCACTAATTGTGGCCTGAAAATTCTATTAATATTTATTACAAAAGCAATTTTGAGAGGAATGTCCTTTGAAGATCCCCTAAATATGGGACGGTGATGGGTGCTGGTGAAGGAGTAAACTGATGACTACCTATCATTTCCAATGGACTCTCCTCTCAGGAAGCTGTGGAGGTGGGGCCATTCCCATAACTGAATGTGTTAGGATCCTTTTTTTTTAACAGAAGTTGTAGGCTGCACAATGCAATGCCAGTGAAGCCAATGTGATGGTTTAACACAAGGGCAAGTGTTTAAAGGAAGCAAAACAGAATGCTGCATTAACTGTGTGATGCAGTTCTGTCCAGGTAGAATTCTAATACCCTGCCCAGTATGTATGATTCTCTCTCAAAGGGCATGGAAGGCTGAGAGCAAAATGAGAGGAGGACCGGTCCCTAAGAAAGACGATAGGCTGCATTCACCTTCAAGATGAAGAGAAGATTCACCCTCATGACCTCATGTCCCTGCTGGATATGAAATAGAAAGAGCCGCAGCTCTGAGACTCAAAGAAGTGAGTAGAAAAAAGGCACAGCAGACTTCAGAAGAACCTAATTCTGGGGACTATAAGCAGCATCAGTTTTCCATGTCCTGGAGGAGGCAAGGCTGTGAGGCCATTATGTCTACCATCCCTGACCACTGGCTATATGGGATGGGACTGAGGAGAACTGAAGGCACATATTCTTGCTTCAGTTCATCCAATATATGTATAAATATATTGGCTAGAATCTGCCTTCAAAATTATGCTGGCATAACTCGGTTGGTATAAATTTCAGCAGTGAACTCTCACAAGCTAAGAAGTCATGTGACTGATGTGCACATAAACAAACAAACAAATAAATAGATAAATAAATACTCAGATTTCTTAACTTGTGGCAATTTACTACTGAAGTTTACACTGACAGAGTTATGACAGAATATATCACTAACAGGATACTGGCCAATCTGTACTGCAGACATAATAAACTACCCTGTCTATATTAGAGACAGAATATATGCATAAACTCTCTATAATATAGCTGCATGTACATAGTTTTGCTCAAACACCTGATGGCAGGGGTCCCCAACCCCGTGGGCTTTCCAGGACTGAGCTGCGGAAACGGATTTTGGCCCTCTCCCCCACGCACGGTGGGCATGTTGCGCTCATGGGTGGGTGTGTTGCGCTTGCTCGCCATGAGTGCAACTCGTCCACTCACGAGCATGATGCCCACCCACAAGCACAGGGGTGCCCTCGCCCCCCTGTGCATGGAGCCTGCCCCCCCAACTGGTCTGCTATTCCAAAAAGCTTGGGGACCACTGCCCTCTGGGTCAAAAGAGAAAAAAAATACAAAAATAATTTAAATCATTATTTGTTTTTTGCAGTCAAAGTAGTTTTGAAACGCTCTACTGTTGACAATGCTACATAAACATCTATGTTTTCTATTGCATTTATAACAGCATCTCACTACATCCTTCACACAATAGCTTCCACCACCTCTGGTAAGATTCTGAATTAAGACATGTTATTTAATATTGTTTTCAAGATCCTTAAATGATTTCCTCTCTGTTACTTTGCTTCACTTTGTATTTGACACTCTTGTATGTTATACATAGGATTCATTACTATCTGAGGTTTCAGGCATTTGTGGTAGATCGTGGAGTGGATCCTACTACACATGGTGTTTTTAAACACTACTTTTTTAAAGGGCTTTTTCCCCCAAAGATATCATAGCCAACTACTGAGTATAATGATGACTCTATACTACATACTTAATTAGACCTGACAAACCTTTCTGGATTTGCCACATGAATGATGGCATCAATTCCCGGAAAAATTCTAGATCAGATCATTAAACAGTTTGTTATTACTTAGGAAGCAATGCTGTCATCACTAAAAGTCAACACGGGTTTCTCAAAAACAAGTCATGCCAGACTAATCTGATCTCTTCTTTTGACAGAGTTACAGGCTTGATGGATGAAGGAAACGCTGTGGATGTAGCATATATATTGATTTCAGTAAGGTCTTTCACAATGTTCCCCATGATATTCTTGCAAGGAAGCTAGTAAAATGTGGGCTAGACAGTGCTACTGTTCAGTGGATTTGTAATTGATTGACCGACCGACCGAACCCAAAGGGTGCTCACCAATGGTTTCTCTTCATCCTGGAGAGGGGTAACTAGTGGGGTGCCTCGGGGTTCTGTTCTGGGCCCTGTGCTATTCAACATCTTTATCAATGACTTGGATGAAAGAATAGAGAGTATGCTGATTAAATTTGCAGATGATACCAAATTGGGAGGGGCTGCTAATTCCCCAGAGGACAGGATTAAAATCCAAAATGACCATGACAGATTAGAGTCCTGGGCCAAAACTAACAAAATGAATTTCAACAGGGAGAAATATAAGGTCCTACACCTAGGCAAAAAAAAAAAAAAAAGAACTGCACAGATATAGGATGGAAGAAACCTGGCTAGACAACAGTGCCTGTGAAAGGTATCAAGGAGTCTTGGTAGACCACAAACTGAACATAGGTCAGCAGTGTGATGCGGCTGCCAAGAAAGCCAATGCAATTCTTAGTTGCATCAATAGGAGTATAGTGTCTAGATCAAGGGAAGTGATAGTACCACTCTATTCTGCTTTGGTCAGACCTCACTTGGAGTATTGTGTCCAGTTCTGGGCACCACAATTCAAGAAAGATGATGACAACCTGGAACATGTCCAGAGGAGGGCAACCAAAATGGTGAAAGGTCTGGAAGCCATGGCCTATGAGGAGCAGCTTATGGAACTGAACTGGGAATGTTTAGCCTTACATAGCCATGTATAAATATTTGAAGGGATGTCATGTCGAGGAAGGGACAGGTTTGTTTTCCACGGCTCCAGACACAGGACAAGCAGCAATGGTTTCAAACTACAGGAAAACAGATTTGACCTGAATCTCAGGAAGAACTTCCTGATGGTCAGAGCTGGTCGCCAGTGGAATATGCTGCCTTAGAGTGTGCCTTCTTTGGAGGTTTTTAAGCAGAGGCTGGATAGCCATCTGTCAGGAGTGCTTTGATAGAGTTCCTGCATGGCACGGGGTTGGACTCGATAGACCCTGTGGTCTCTTTCAACTCTGTGATTCTATGACGCCAGCCAACCAGGGACTGTGAAATGACACTATGCTGCCAATTAGATAAGCCTACATTCTAACATCTGAGAACAGATATTGACTTTTCAAAACAAAGTAAACACTTCCATAGAAAGCAAATCCTTGTATCCTTTCATATGGTCCAAAAAAAGCTGCAGAAATTGGAAGTATCTCTAAAGGCTAACAAAAATGTTTGTGAAGATTCAGCCAACCTCCAACAATTTGAAGCAGAACTAGAAAACTTTTCGTATTCTATATTTGATTCACATGACTCATTCTTCAGTACTTACGAAGATATCTATCTAGGGGTATGCAAGTCTCCAAGTCATCTGTTGGAGACAGAAGTTCGCAAATGCTTTCAGCCATGTGTCCCTCAGGAAATTTGCTCAAGTCTCCACATTTCTTGAGAATTTCCACACAATCTGATCTTCAGAAAAATAAAGTATTTACACATTATACACATGCACAATATTGGCAGCTAAAAATGAAGCCACATTAAGAACATCATTTTTCCTACAACACACAGATGCATTAATATAAAAAAATAAGGGTTATACATACACAATATCACTATTTATATTACCATTAACTATAATGTAATGATAATTGTTATAATTATTATAATTATTGTAATTTATGTAACCTCCCAGATGAATACATTTAATGGCTTTCCACAACCCATCTACAACATCTAGTTACTGATTAGAATGTATGCTAATTAAATAGCGGCACACCACTTTTATTTGAATGCAGGATCTCACTGAGTCCATGATCATAAACAGATCCTCCTTTTCCCATACTGACCAGAGGACTGAATGCACATCTGATTTTTTTTCTTGCAGTAAGATTTATCAATTTGCAGTATCATGGCAAAACAATACTGTGATACTCTGAATCCTGTGCAGTTTCTGAACTAGTCCAAAAGGGCCAAATTCAGAGAAGTTCTCACACTGAATAAAACATGAGCTCAGACAGTCTTCTTTTATATGCACGTATACAGGACATGTGCCTAGTCCCAATGATTTGGACTAATGGTAAATCATGGTTTTCCAATTTAGGCCTGACAGGATAACACAGCTACTTTTTCTTAACCATGGGATCTGCTGTGATGCTAACTCATCCTGATGGTGGCTACAGCTCTGCTCTAAAATAAAACAGGCAATCAAGATTTTTTGATTCTGAAAATAAGAGGCAATGCATTGAATTGTTCTAATGCCCAGCTTTGCCTTTTGCTTCCCTATTTTTTTTCAGTAAAACATTTTGTGTGGCCCACGTACAATCTAGCTTTCACTTCTACATGAATATTAACATCAAAAACTTCTACAACTGGATATTAATAATCTACTTACTTGCAAATAATGCTTCCTCTAGATTTACTATGGCAAGGTTTAATCTGCAAAGAACAAGCAATTGCCTTCCACATTTCTGGCTGGCATTTTTTAATATCAAGAACAGGAATATTTATAAATGGCATCTTGATGCTTCCTTTTTCCCAAAGTTTCATGTCATTCATGGCTCCTTGATCTGACTGGGCATTGCAACTCCTGAAAAGTTCAGTTGGCCTTCAGGGGGGAAAACGGAATATACAGTTATAAAAAAAAAATAGAACTGATTTTGAATCTAGCATGTCTGTACAATTTCAGATCTATTATACAAAATAAAATCCAGCACTCTGAGTGAAATGGCTGGAATCCGAATGAAAACAATGCACTGCAAATTGTCAAAAGTTAATAGTACAGGCATTTGCTGTTGTGTGCCGAATAATGCTGTACAACAGCAAATATCTATGCTGACTTCTTAACTTGTGGAAATTCAAAGCGGGGCCTGAGACCAATGGAGTTACATTAGTAAGCGTAACTAATAGGATTCTGGCCAAGGAGTTGTAAAAATATTACATACTCACTGTAAGTCTTAATGTATCAGGAGAAGAAGAGAACATGCTCTTGCATTTAATTAGGCACATTAAGCCTGCTGATTTAATGAATGTCAATAATGTACTTGGATTAATGGAGAGGAGAGGCAGGGAGCAAAAAAGCAAAGTCTCCACTTCAAAGAAGCAGGAACACAGGCATTTAATGAGGAAAAAGAAAGCAACAGCTAGAGTTTTAGAATTAGAAATAATAAAAAAAAAGCATGGTGGAAATTAATCAAGAAATTCAGAAAAATAATCTTAAAGCTATATGCAATTTCAAAAGGTTTAAAAAGAGGTGACTTAGCGACATGTCTACAGTTATATCTATCCAACTAGTTAATATAAAGCTGGAATAGAAACAATTCCATTTAAAAGACACGGTCATTCAGGAGACAGAAATTAAACTTACCAGTCCACATGATAAAGAAGTAATAAAATACAGATTTTTGGACAAATGAGAAATTAATAATTCATGGTCATCAAGTAGAAATAGTGGGGTAAATAGAACTCAATACCCTGACTAACTGAAGAGAATTTAAATTATTACAAAAACAATCAGATAAAAAATTCAAATGCAGATGAGATACCTTCATTTGAAGTGTGCTTACATTGTATAAAGGATAATAAATACAATTATGTCTATTGAAGTAATTTTTTAAATAAGCCCTCATAGGCCATGAAACTGAATACCAAGATGAAGGAGAACCATGATGAATCAAAGTCAGGAAGGAAAACACACAACAAAACCAAAATCAGATGTAATCCAAAGGAGCGGTCAAAAGAAAGAGCCAAAAAGAAGATCAGCAAGAGTAAAGGAGGGAAGTTCCAGATGTGATGCAAACAGTATGGCAGATAGCAGAAAGTGAAGATGGGAACCCTGACATGTTCACATGCCGCAGTGCAGGATGAGGCTCCCAGTAAATCATCCACCTCAGCTCTGGAAACTTACAAACTGCTCTGCTCAGGCACACTGTAATCATCCTACATGTAAAATCATAGTAACATTGAAGAAGAAAGGTACATTAATTATTTCATTCTAGATATATTGACTCAATAATGGCTGAAATTCACTTGCATTACACTTACTGTACCTACAATCGCACAAAGACAAAAGTGTTATCCATAAAGCACTCCTGCTTGTGCACTGTGTACTTGGTCAAAGGAGAAGTGTGTGATTGATACGTACAATTGCTGTGTGCAGTCTTTGTTGCCAGGGCATAACACCTGGCATGTTTCTGATGCCTAGCAACATTATACCTTGCTAAATTAGATTCCAAGCAACATGTCATAATAAACATCATATAGCATTTCAACCAATCATCTGTTTCCTAAAAAACACCAGTCCTTAACAGTATGACCAATGGCTTTTCCTGACACTTTGCGAAGTGCATTATTACTGTGTAAGAGCTGCCCTGCTGTGTTCTTTTAACTGCATCCCTTTGCTGATTTTAATGGCTTTACAGCAGGGTTGGTTTACTCGATTTTATGTGGCTTTTTAGCTAAATGGGAATTTGTTTACTTTTAAAATATATTTCTAGGCCATTTTGAGCCCTATCTTTTAATGGAAAGTGACAGACAGACAGACAGACAGACAGACAGACAGACAGACAGACAGACAGACAGACAGACAGACAGACAGACAGACAGACAGACAGACAGACAGACAGACAGACAGACAGACAGACAGACAGACAGACAGACAGACAGACAGACAGACAGACAGACAGACAGACAGACAGACAGACAGACAGACAGACAGACAGACAGACAGACAGACAGACAGACAGACAGACAGACAGACAGACAGACAGACAGACAGACAGACAGATGATAGAGGGACGGACAGACAGACAGATAGAGGGACGGACAGATAGAGGGACGGACGGACGGACGGACAGACAGCAGTAACAACTTTGATAATGCCCATATCTACAAATATCAAAATTTGAAGACTAGTCATATCCAGTTACATAATCTTTCCCAGTGCAAATCAATGCATCCATATGTGGCGGAAGGAAGTCTTGTGTTTAATGGCTCCAGTCATCTGCAAGCAGGGCCTTTTTCTCTTTAAGGAATCAAGGAATAGAACTCCATGCGTTTACATGGAATGGAAGATAAGGTATGAGAAGCATGCATCAGCGAATCCTTGTTTTGGAAAGGGTTGATCTATTGTCCGTATTTCCTAGCATTTTAGGATATATCTTCAACCATTATTCTTTGCTTTAAACTGAACAGCTTTTCTCTTTTGGGAAAAGTAATCAAGATTATTCAGCCTCCATGAGACATTTGATATATAAGGTACTGTACTAAAGAATGGACATATAAGGAGTTAGGAAATCCAGGATTTGCCATTTAAAACCCACCATGTTAACAATAAAAGGAAATCAACCTAAATCTTGCAAGTCCCCATTACCATACCTGCTTCTACTCCAGGCAGTACAATCAAAGACTTTAGAATTCTTTAGAAAATAATGACTGTACTTGTCTTACCTGTTGTTAAAATTAGTGCAGTAAGATAGATTTCTACAGCCCAGCTGACAAGGTTCGCGTACATCTGCTAAACAGGTCAGCATGGAAACTTCAGCTGGGCTATATTCACAAATGCGGTCAAATTCATGCCAGGTTGGTGTGTTGCCCCAGCTGCTACTATAAAGTTTGGTGCATAAATCTCTAACAAATAAACACACACAAAGAATAAAATTAAAATAAAATATATGGTATATATGGACAATAATTTAGGACATTAGAACTTACATAATAATATTAATTGCTAAAAATATAATTTTTCCATTCTGAAGAGGAAAATGTGTGTAGACTACAGAAGATGTATACACGAAGTAATATATGGAGTCTTAATGGATTCAGGACCTTTATCAGATGATGCAAGGGGGAAATTACATTGTACACTGGTGCCCCGCTTGACGACGATAATCCGTTTCAGGAAAATCGCTGTTAAGTGAAATCACCGTCAAGCGAAAAAAAACCCATCCATGCCTCTGAACTGATGCGGTGGTTCCATCACTAATGTCCAAAGAAATATGGGTCATCAAAACAGAAGGCATGAAGGCGATATGATGTGATGACCCCTTCAAGAATAATCCTCTTCAGAGAACAATCTAGATTTCCTTGACCTAAGCATCATGGAGGAATCGTCTAATTCAAGGTGACAACGAAGGGGATCAGACGAATCTAGTTCTCAGGAGCAGAACCAGGGGGAAATGCCTTGTGTGGTGGAGAGCCCCCGTTGGAAGCCAGGTTGTTAACACTTAACTTAAGGCAGTTCAACATGCAGGATGAGTTGGCCAGCAGATGAGGAAATCCATAGCTTTCACATGACTTAAGAGTCCTTATGACTGTGTTTGCTTTGTTGAAGCACATAAAATGGCATGCTAGATCAGACAAAATCCTATCTAGTGCACCATTCAGTCCACACAGTGGAGAACCAAGTGCCTTTCGGAAGCCCATGAGGAAGACATCAGTGCAAGAATATCAAGAGATGACTGCCTGTGATACTGGAAAGACTATGTCCATCATGGCTAATAGCCACTGAGTGCCCTATTCTTGAAAAACGAGATCAATCTCTTTTTTAGACTGGCTAAATTGGCAACCATTACATCTTAAGCTGAAATTCCACGCATATGGCCCAGAAAATGTAATCCCCACTGAATATAGAATATACTTCTGAATAAATATTCATACATTTGTAATGTACACAAATTAGGTAGCCAACACTGGATAGGAGGCAAGTCACGATTAAGGAGATATGCTGCCTTATACTGTAACAAAATGTATCAATGAAACTGTGACCATTCCATTCCATTGCAGATACTATGTCTCTCCACGTCTCCTTCCCCAACACCTCTCCTATTCTTCTAGTCCAGTGGTG